ACACACACACACACACATATATATATATATATATATATATATCAGTCTGGCAAGTAAACTAAAAAATGTACTAGCCAATGGCTATTCAATTGCCAAGGTGTCCATAGAGGGCTGGTAATATAGATAAATGCGATCATACAGGCAATCAAGGTTTAGAAATTATTAGTTTATATAGAGATAACATAGTATATATTGGCCTACGTGATTGATATATATATCAATCTTTAAATATCTTTACATATAGAGCTATGCGATAATACAGTTTACATTTTGTGATGATATACATAATCACGCTGCCGAGATTTGCAACATAGTATGTGTTACGTGAGTGTATTGTATTTATGCAGGTAAAGTAGTATGCACTACAGTGGGGCAAAAAAAGTATTTAGTCAGCCACCAATTGTGCAACTTCTGGTGATCACACATAATCATACATAATCTGCTACTGCAGGTACTCTTTTGAAAACACAGGGATTTTGCAATGGACACCCTGACATGAGCACACTTCACAACCATCACGCTCCTAGTTTCACAATAACCCCGTGACCTAGAGAGCTCAGAGTTGCAACTTTGTTGAAGGATTGATGGAGTTCAGTTATTAAGTAGATCTTTTTCTCATCATATCGGTCTAATTTTTAATGGTTGTGTAATAGTCTTTTGTGAAATTGCTGCTGCTGGTTCTCTGCGGTGTGAGGAATTCCTCAACAAACCTTCATGTTTGACCAGTCTAGAGAAAGACACAGTCTGCTCTAAAAAAACATTCAGGTCCTGCTCTCAAGTATCTTTCGCCAGCTCACTGTGTCTGAAAACCTCTTTATCTGCAGAAAAAGAGCAAAGATCACTTCGGCCTGGAAGGTGACGAAGAATCAACCATGCTGGAGGACTCGGTATCTCCCAAAAAGTAAGCGTCTTTTCATAGTTCATCGCGTACTAGTGTGTTTGAAAGTAGTATGGTGTTGCTCCATGTGCTTCCATATGTCACACATCGTTTCCTGTTATAAGTCTTATTTACGGCATTCGATCTAATGGTAACCTGTGATGTATTATGCTCCAGATCAACAGTTCTCCAGCAGCAGTTTAATAAGGTCGGGAAGGTGGAGACGGGCTCTGTCGCTCTGCCGGCCATTATCCGCTCTGGTGCCGGCGGTCCGGAGAGCTTCCAGATGGGCTCCATGCCACAGGCCAACCAGCACATCACCAGCGGACAGATGCACCGAGGACACATGCCCCCTCTGGTCAGATACTGTATACACACGCACAAACACTACAGGAACGACCACTGAATGTGTTCTGAAGGATGGACTCTGCTCTTGATGTGAATATGAGACATGTCTATGTAATTGTAGTCACTCTACCTGTCAGTGCTGTTTGTTTGGGCCGTACTGTGAGCTGTCTGTGTTCTCTGTATCTTGCAGACATCAGCTCAGCAGGCTTTGACCGGCACCATTAACTCCAGTATGCAGGCGGTGCAGGCAGTTCAGGCCTCTCTCGATGAGTTCGACGCGCTGCCTCCACTGGGCACTGATGCGGTGAGATGCATTATTCGTATAAATGTAACTTTTAATTGCCTCAGTCACTTTTTCACTTTTGGTTCACTTTTCACTTATTTACCCGTGTTCTGTTTGGGTCATTTTTGACCCGGGTGAAAAATACAAATCTTAAGTTTGTTTGTTTTTGTTTTGTTTTTTTTCAAAATGACTTTGGTTTCTCTGCAACATTGTTCCAAGAATTTTTTTTATTTATATATATATATATATATATATATATATATATTATATAATGTTGTTTTGATTTCGTAACCGACTAGCTTATTCTTGTTCTGATTACATGTATTACTTTGATGAAATATATTTATGTTTTCTGTTACTTTAAGGACGGTTGCTGCTACTAACATGAACGAGACCAGCAGTCGCTCACATGCGGTCTTCACCATCCTCTTCGCTCAGCGTCGACATGATAGCATGACCAGTCTGGACACAGAGAAGGTGTGTGTCGGGCATTATAAAAAAACACTCGTCTGTTGCTGTTCTGCGCTCAGTCTGGTTTCTCGTCTTCCGTTCAGGTGAGCAAGATCAGTCTGGTTGATCTGGCAGGAAGTGAGAGAGCAGACTCATCCGGAGCCAAAGGCACGAGGCTGAAGGTCCGTCAGATCTCATTTTATTGATACGTCCCATATTATGTCCTGAGGATGAAAACTGGATGTCCAAAACATGTTTTTGCAGTTGAATGACTCCGAGTCAGAGGTGCTTGTGATTACCCCGTGTGGCTCTAGTAGTACTAGTCCTTATCTAATAAAGTCCGGAAATAGGCCCGCAACCTAGGTGTGATTTTTGACTCAGAAACTGTCCTTCGGTGGAGATTCCTATACAAGCGACAATTGCAGATGAAAATCTAATCAAAAACAAAAAAATCAATGGATTAGGGCAACTCTTCAAATTTGGTATGAGTATAAAGTAAAGAATCTTTATTTACATATGACTCAGACTTTAAACCAATATTCGTATAAATTTAACTTTTAATTGCCTCAGTCACTTTTTCACTTTTGGTTCACTTTTCACTTATTTACCCGTGTTCTGTTTGGGTCATTTTTGACCCGGGTGAAAAATACAAATCTTAAGTTTGTTTGTTTTTGTTTTGTTTTTTTCAAAATGCCTTTGGTTTCTCTGCAACATTGTTCCAAGAATTTTTTTTATTTATATATATATATATATATATATATATATATATATATTATATAATGTTGTGAATATATATGGAATTATAAAAATGATCGAACAGAAACCCAAGCAGCATATTTTTCAAACATTCATGACAGATGTCACTACTTGCTTCTCCCAGCAATTGTTTTTCAATTGACATTTGCATAAACGTGACCATTTCGCAAATGCTCCATGCAAACCATAAGATTGAGAAAATATATAAATTAGCATATACTAAATTTCATGTGCAAAATTAATAGGATAGTGCTGTATTTTTTTATTTATTTTTATTGAAGTCGAGTCTTTTTTGAACTGAGCATGCAGGTGCATTTTTTTATTTTAATTTTCTTCTTTCTTTTTCCTGGAGGTAAAAATATTAGTTTTTTTTTATATGGGACTGACATAGCAGTAACACTTTAGATCAAGCACACTATTCACTATTAACTAGTTGCTTATTAGCATGCATATTACTAGCATATTGGCTGTTTATTAGCACTTATAAAGCACATATTAATGTCATCTTCTGCATGACCATATTTTAGATCTCTGAACCTACCCAATACCTAACGTAACAACTATAACAACTACCTTAATTTCTATAATTAAGCAGCAAATTAGGAGTTTACTGAGTGAACGTGTTCCCTAATCTAAAGTGTTAATGAAACATGTGCCAGTGATATTGACATTTCAACTTTGATAGGGTTCAGAAATTATATTAAAAGGAGATTCTGGTTAAATGGTGTGGGACTGACCAAAAGAAAAAGTGTGGACAAGATTTATCCAATGCAGTCTAGAAGACAATAGACTGCATATAATGTGTGGAAAGAGACATATTTCTGACATGCTACTGTAATCTGCTGTAGTGATGAATGTATATCATGTGCTCAGTACAGTATTGAGCATCCTCTCTCTCTCTCTCTCTCTCTCTCTCTCTCTCTCTCTCTCTCTCTGATGTTTAGGCCTCTCAAGCATGGAGAAAGAACAAAATGGACGAGTCCAAACACGAGATTCACTCTCAGGTGGATGCCATCACTGCGGGAACTGCCTCCATGGTCAATCTGACTGCAGGTGACACTCATCGTCACTAGCTGACGACTCTTTATCAAAACTAAAAACATCAGCTAGTGGGACACCGGATATATGTCATCGTTCCCACATAGTTTGGTCATGTGGTAAAATGTAGTTTGTCCCTGAACGTGTCTGTCAGGTGACCCAGCAGAGACGGATTACACCGCTGTGGGCTGTGCTGTCACCACCATCTCCTCCAACCTGACCGAGATGTCTAAGGGTGTCAAACTGCTGGCGGCGCTGATGGAGGACGAGGGAGGAAATGGCCAACAGCTTCTGGGTGCTGCCAAGAGCCTGGCGTGTGCTGTGTCTGAGATGCTCAAGACGGCTCAGCCCACCAGTACTGAGGTATCACCTGAGTGTTTGCAGTACACACATGCGATTGAGAATGTGCCAAACAGTTGATGTGGTTCATTCATCGGTGTGTTTGTAGTGGAGTTGTAAGGAATTTAGCGGTTGTGTTTAAAGGAAAAATAAACATTTCTATACTTTTTAACCTCAAATGCTGCCCATCTTGTCTAGCTCTGCGATGCGCATGCGTACTCTATGCACTCCGCTTCAAGACAGTTAGTGTATGTCTAAAAACTCAACTTCAAAATCGTCCTACATCGCTGTAGTACCTTTTTTTTTTTTTTTTTTATAAGGCGTTTGATCTTCTTTGCATGTTCACTTTGCAAACACTGGGTCGGTGCTTCTGCAGCAGTGTAGGGCGATTTTGAAGTTGGAGGAGAAAATGAGATGGGAGTTTTTCGACCTGGCTCCCTTACAGTTTTTTGGAAGAAATCAAAGCTTAAAACCTAAAATGCTTCCAATCAAAAGTTTGGGGTCAATAAGATAAGATTTTTTTTTATGTTTATGAAAGACATCTCTTAGGCTCACCAAGCCCGCATTTATTTAATTTGAAACAAGGTAAAAACTAATATTGTGAAATATCATTACAATTTAAAATAACTGTTTTCTATTAGAGTATATTTTTAAGTGTAATTTATTCCTGTGATGCAGCGCTGAATTTTCAGCATCATTACTCCAGTCTTCAGTGTCACATGATCTTCAGAAATCATTATTATCAATGTTGAAAGCATATTTGGTGCGTAATATTTTTGTTGAAACCATGATTAATTCTTGTCAGGATTCTTTGATGAAGTTGAAATGAACAGAATTTTTTTGAAATCGAAATATTTTGTAACATAAATGTCACTCTCTCTTTTGATCACTTTAATGAATCCTTGCAGAATAAATGAATTGTTTTCAATAAAATCTTGCCGAACCCAAACTGTTAGTGTAGCTAAAACTTGAACACTATTTTTTTGGTGCCGTGCAAGCATTGCTGTGTCCTCTTTGTAAATCTAGATGTTATGAGCAAATAATGCTTTAATGTTGCCTTTGCTGTTATGATATGTTAATATTGCTGTGTGTGTCTTCAGCCGCGACAGAACCTCCTGCAGGCAGCGGGTAATGTGGGTCAGGCCAGCGGTGAACTCCTGCAGCAGATCGGAGAGTCCGATGCGGATCAGCACTTCCAGGTGTGACACACACACACACACACACACACACGCACACACACTGACGCTGGGACTGTAATGCATTAACCTGTGTTCTCATCAGTCTGTAGGTACAGCAGCGTTCACACACTCCAGACGGACACGCTATAGTCAAATGCTGGTAACAATACATAGAAAGAACAATTCATATTCACCAGCCAATCATACTAATGAAACGGTGATCATTATAAAATCAGTTATTTAATGATCACAGTTTGCCCTGGATTATAATGGAAATCATATAGTCATATAGCCGTCCTGTCATAACTGTAGTATGTAAGATCACGGTGTGGTGACGGGTCTCTATATTCTCATCCATATCCACTGGAAATCAATCTTTTCATTATCCACACCGTTTCTCTGCATGATAGATTTCATCATTTAATTATATCATAATTCTCAAAATTCTGAACTTTTTGTGTATACAGACCTGTAACTATCAGTAATGAACTGGTGGTTTTTCTGTGTTGAAACGTTTCAAAGAGCTCATACCTTTTTTAATATCTAAAAGCGTTTAGTTCGCATTTAAGAGCTTAAGACAGCCACTGTAACATTTTTCTAATAATTTTCAGTTACTGTTACTACCGGAAAACAGCGATCATTTTTAGTAATTATTTTTGTGATCATTGGCACAATATTGGAAAAAACCTGACATTATGATACTTTGTTTTTCTGCTATATGTATATTTATACATATATTGCAATATGAAAAAAACACAGGCATTTTAGATTACTAATAGATAATAGAGTACTAGCTATATTTGGAAATAATTGATCATTCTAGAAGTATTGGGATGATTTTTTTTTTGGGGGGGGGGGGGGGGGGCTGTGTAG